TGTTGTGCCAAAAAGTGATCGTCTACCAGCTGATTGTAGCACAAACACAAGAAAAATAAAGGCTTGTTAGATGTTTTTTGTTTTTTTCCTTTTTGTCTGTCTGGCCTATTGAGCCTTTGTAATGCAAGTAGCAACATAAGTAAATGTAATGTAATACTAAATTTAGTAATATAGTAGTAATATATTACTGAAAAATGTAATGTGATTACAATAAGAGTTACTTCAGAATGTGTTACACCGAGCACTGGGGGGCTCTAACCATCCTCTGTTTCTTCCAGTCTGTCGGGTCATCAGATTAGTGAGACGGCAGCTCAGAATATGACCAGGTTTCTGCCCTGTCTACGATCACTCAAGTAAGCATTTATGATATATAAGATGAGTGTGGATGTACTTCTGTACATGACTGTGTGAAAAATAATGTCTAGAATATGAACTTACATTTAGGCTGCTGTAAAATGTTACACACAGTGAATAAACATTTGTTCACAATGGAACTTTTCTGCTGTAGTCTTTCCCACTGTGTTTTGCCTGGAGGACTGCAGCTCATTGAAGCACTGGGACAGTGTGTTATTCTTGAAGACCTTTGGTAAGGCATGCACACACACACAGATACAGCAATACAGCTGTTTTTTCTGTTGGATAAAATAAAGAAGCTGTTAAAAAATGTCAGTTTTTTTCTGTGTTTTCTGTGCACCCTAAGTTTGGATTTTGTGGCACTGAATGAGGAGAGCAGGATGTGTCTGGCACGAGCTCTAAAACATATCAACTCTATTCGCCGTCTCAGGTAAGAAACACTCTCTGTTTCTTTGCAATAGTCAGAATCCAAGAGCTAAAGTAAATCTTGGTTTGTTCTTTACTACATAGTCTTCAGGATTTATTGAACAGAGATCAAAACTCTTCCAGGCAGACATCTTTGCTGTTTTCACCACAGTGCACTTCACTCTGCATTTACACTATAATGCACATGCTGCTTTTTGTTGGCCAATGTTGGTGCTGTTTGTCATACCAGCATGTCATCAGGCTCTTATGAACCTCATAATTAATTAGTAGGATCTGATCCTACTAATCCCCCCACCCCAGGGACAAATTTATCCCTTATCGTTCCCAGTTCTCTCATAGCGCTAAGCTGTAAAATGTAGCTGGCAAGGTGCCTGGTCAGCATATGTCAAAGCCTTTTATGCATTTCTAACATACAGATCATATTCCCATGGCTATAAATCCTCATCAAAATACACATCTACCTAACATAACTAATACATTTTGTGTGTGTGTACCAGGCTGAATGAGATTGTCACAGCAATGGACAATCTCAGCGTTCTGGATCTCCTGGCTGCCACGAAGGGACACGCACATTTAGAGCAGATAGAGTGAGTCTTTCATTCATACCTAGCACTCACTGCACATTACCATTCACCTTCTGTCAGTCTGTCATTAAAAAAAGAAGAAGCTTGGCTTTGAGAATGTTGGATTTGCTCTTTCTCAGGTTGGGGGGCTGGAGGATGGCTTGCAGAGGAATAGAAGAGCTGAACAGGCTCATTCCGAACTGGAAAGAGCTCAGGAAGATAAAGTATGTACACAGGGGGTGGAAAACACAGAAAGTTTGTATTTTACTGATCTCCAAAACCCTCTATCTGCATTTCCAACATGTTTTCTCCAGGATATGTTCACCTTCACCCCAAGAGAAATAGTAATATTTTTATTAATGCTTTAAAATACTTTGTTTATGTCACATGACCAATCTTCTGTAGATTATACTCATGCAGAGTTCCATTTATCCTGTCATATACGACATGAGTGTGAAGTAGTTTCTTTGCCTTTTTTGCAAACAATCCAATAATAAAAATGTTAGTACCACAGGTTGAGACGTGCAAGTCATTCAGAATGTTACAGCAATTTTATCGTTCCTTTATGGGGACCAACTGTTTGCACTATGCAGCAGGTTCGTCCTTCCAAGTGTGTTTGACTGACAGCCACAAAATGTCTACAGGCTCAAGATGTTTTTCATATTACCGTCCTTTATGCTTTTATGCTTTTTTTTTTTTTTTTTTTAAAGAGAATGGTCTTTTTATGCTTATACTTCATATTTACATATCCAGCTCCGGTATGAACCCCTGAAGTACTCATTTAAATGTGCACAAGTTAAACTCTTTGGCTTGAATGAAAGCTTCCCAAAATTTGATAAAGAAATTTGCAACTTTGTTGCAACCTCCACTGGGCTCACTGTCTCTACTTCCTTCCACTTTTATTTGTAGATCCCAATGAATAATTGTTGTGGCAGGCAGTAAACCTATACACATCAAGTAAACTGAAGGAATTCTGAATCTGAGGTTGCATAGCCAGAAACAATGACCCAGATTAAATTCAATCCAAAGTTCTTCCAGTAACTAATGCAATCTATGCCATAAGGACAAAAGTACTGGGCCAAATCTCGTAATCTTTGAATTCAGGTGTTTTCAGTCCATTTGCCACACATCAAATCAATCAATCAAATCAAGCACCCAACCATGCGGTATGTCTTTGCAAACAGTTGTGAAAGAATAAGTCAAGTCAGCTTGTGAAATTTCTTTGGTCCTAAATATTCCGTGATCAGCTGTAAATTATATTATTGCAAAGTTGAAGCGTTTAGGTAGTTTATGGCACAGTTTCAAAAGGGTTTCCAGTTACCTATAGAGCAGATTTAATTGAGCTATATCAATCCACTGTAATGTGTAGGGTATCTATTATCCACATAATTTAAAAGTAAAGTTTGAGTTAGGTTTGGCGCCATCAAGTGGAATAATCAAAAAAACAAACTATCGACAGAACACTAACAGTTATTAAAAATGAGTAATTTTGCTTTTCTTGCTGTGTGTGTTTATCCTCCAGGCTGTCAAAGAACCTTATCAGTGACCAATCAGGAGAGAAGCTTCTTGAGGCTTTGAAAGCCTGCAGCCACCTGGAGGAGCTCTGGTGAGAATGCGTTTCATTCCTGTAAATGTGCTTTTGGCACTTGATTGCAACACTGTGCAAGAGTTTGCATGTGTCCACTTGGCTAAAGAAGTGGACAAAATAAGCCCTCAAAACTATTGAGTGAACATTTTAATCTTCAAAATTGTTTATTTTCCTTGGAAAAGCTGAGTTTTATATATTTGGCTACATCATTAATTGGCATTTAACTCAAGCAACTCAAAGATTGTTTTAAAATGTACATATTTATATGTCTTTTTGTGCACTCTTCCAGTCTGTCTGATAACAAACTGGGAATCCTCACTGCTGCCAGGATGGCCCTCATTTTCCCATCACTGACACACCTCAGTGTGTTAGAGTAAGTCTCACACAGTGTTACATGTTCTTATTGATATGTGTTTCTCCCCTCACTTATTCAGCCTTTTTGTTCTTCTGTATTTCTGTGTCATTTATAGCATTTCGCTCAACCACATTGACCATGAAGGCTCCAATAGCATTTCCAAAGCCATAATGTGCATGAAGAACCTCAAAAAGATTAAGTACGACTCATTTGCTTTGATTATTTTCAGAATCACAGCTCACGCAGGTGACTACACTTACTGATTGTTTTTTGTCTTTTGCACAATAATTCAGCCTGACCTCTGTTGGGACTTCAGAGCTGCGTCCTGTTGTAGCCAGTCTGGCTCACTGTCCCCTCATACAGGAAGTTGGGTAAGATAAAGCAAAGTGATCAAACATTTAATAGTCTGGTGCTGTTCTGTGTTCTACTCATGGACATGTCAGTTCTATAAGAGTTGGCACACACTGTATGTAATGATTTGTCAATCTTGTAAACTCATGTTTTATTCACAATAGAAAACACATCAAAGGTTTTAACTGAAATGTAGCATTTAAGAAAAATATTAGCTCCTTTTAAAGTTACTATGATCACATGGCTTCTGCTTTACATGCACTAACTTGCACTTGTGGATGAATCACAAACAGTGATTTCTGGAAGTATTCCTGAGGGAGTTCTGTGAGAGAATCATGCCTGTTTTTAATGCATTTCCATCCGAGGGAACAAAGATCACAGGCATCCAATACTGATGTTTGGCCTTGTCCCTTGCACACAGGGATTTCTCCAAATCTACTCAATCTTTCTGATGATGTCATGCACTGTATGAGAAGATATTCAGGTTTTTTTTTATTGCAGATTGTTCAGCCTCTGTCCATCACTGCTTCTTTTTATACCCCACTATGTGACCAACCCATTGCATATTAACCTAATTATTTGCTAAATGGTCTCCACATGTTTCTTTATAATGCCACTTTCTTTTCCACCCTTTTGTTGCCCTTGTCCCAGCTGAGACACTGTGAACCCATCAAATACAAAATGAGTAAATATTTTTCTCAGTTTAAACACTGGATGTTTTCTATTGCCGCTTATGAACAGAATATGGATTTATGAACTCTGCAGATCATTTCATTCAGTTTTTTGCCTACATTTTACACAGCACCACACATTTTAAGGAATTGATTATTTAATTATTGAAGGTATTGTTGTACATAACACTCTAGTTTTTAATTAAAAGTAATTTATGATATTCGCATCTTAGGATAACATTTTTGCGTGATGCTTCAGCTTCTGTTCATCAAACCTCTCTCTCTATGTCTTGGTGTCTGTCTAGTCTGGGTTGGAATAACTGTCGTGATGAAGTGGCACTGGAAGTGGCCAGGGTTTTGCCTTTCTGTCATACGCTGACTCAGATAGAGTGAGTAAAACACACACATAAAGACCCGCAACTGCAAGAGTTTTGCTTTTTTCATTCCACTTTTCATTTAGGCTTTCTTATATTTATAAAACCAATAAGGAAAACAACTCTTATTTCAGTACATGAGAGATTAAGTGTTTATTTCTCACAGTCTCGAGTGCAACAGCTTGAGTGCTTCTGGAGCGGAGGCCCTGCTTAAGGCCTTAAGGTTCTGCCCTGCTCTGCAACTCATCAGGTAAACTTCCTGCACTGCTAGACCTGCATTATCCAAGGAAACCTTATTAATTTCTAATGTTGTGGTAATGTTCTGGCCTTTATAAGTTATTGAACTTGGTTTCAGACTCTGGAAGAACAAAATCTCTGACGGTGATGTCCATAGGCTCGGTCTAAGGGACAGAAGGATGAATTTCTCTTCCACCTGATATGATCTGCACTGCTTGACAGTTGAGAAGCACAATTCCAGTTCATCAGCACCAGTGCAGACGAACAGTCCAGTACTTTTTCTGCCAACACTGACTTAAAAATCTGTGAGAATTTTTTTTTGTTTTTGAAGTGTTTTGGGGGGTTTTTTTTCTAAGTGCTGCTCTATTGAAACACGGCTGTACAGTTGAAATAAGTTTGTTAGAACAAGAAGAAATAATGTATTTTTGAAACTATTTAAATCCCTGACTTTGCACTGATTGGCCTTTGGTTTCACAAAGCAGGAGACGGGTGGAAGCCACTGAAACCTTTTTTTCAAAAGCTGCTGTCAGATTAACAGGGGAGCACACAAAGAGGTTTATGGACACAAATTGGGAGAGGTGGCACGCTCAGCTGATCAGTAGAACACCACACTAGATTTTGAACAAAAAGTGTTTTCTTCAAAGCCACTGAAATAACACACTTACTTTTGTAATCAGTCGTAATAATCAGCAGTAGAATTAGTTTTTTTTACGGCAGAGGGTGTACTGTCATCACCTTCCCAGGCAGGCGAGTAGGTGGGCGAGGACACCCAAGTGAGTGATGCTGAGAGACTGGCCAGCTGCTTCCTGTTTTATCATTGAATTCCTGGGAGAAAGGAAAAACACACACATAAACAAAGCAGGTCCCGCCTGTTCACTTTTAACTAATGTATCACACTCATGACTAAATTCTTCCCTACTGAATTGAACAGATAATATTTTACTGTTATAACGGGACTACAGTATTTCCCATATGACATGATCATTTCAAACTTGTTACAATAAAATTAGAAAAAATCACAAAGTACATTAAAGATGGCTTTTAAAAAAAAGATTACACTAACTTATGTATGCACTTAAAAAAGTGTGAAATCACTAAACCTGTGTTGAGCCCCGCCTTTCAGTAGCACACCACTGAGCTCCCAAACTGCTGTGAAAATAAAGGCCACACTGTGTTATTTTCCTGTGAGGAAATGATGAATATATCTTTGCAGACTCTGATACGAGGAGTCAATTTGCATTGTGGAATGTTTACAATAATTAGAGGCCACATTACTGAAAACACAAGAAATCACAAAGTCACAGTAAAAGAAGAGTTACCTGCTCCTATGGTCACTCCAGGTCGTGGTCTCTATCCAATGTGCGTATTTATTTCTGCTGTTTATCATAGGAGGACACAAGAAATTGTATGTATTTATTGAGCTGTGATTGAATCAGGGTTAAAAATTTTAAAAAGAAATATTTTTATAGGAATGTATTTGCTTTGTGACCAAAAGAAGATACTGTAATTTTTGCAGGTCGCACCAGTTGTATTTCTGACTTTCTAAAGTCATGTTGATGCTTTGATTTCTGAATGTAATGCACCTTATTCCTTTCTCTTTTCCTGTGTGTAATTGTCCGTTTTTTTGTTTTGTTTTGTTTATTTTTCCTTTGATTTTTGGAGCAACACTGGCTCTTACTGAAAGGATTTAAAATTGCTTATCTGTTAAATATAGTTTTTGAAAGGTTTGTGTGCAGGTTGTGCTTGACAGAAAAATTGCAGATACTTTTGATATTCCCTGACTATGAGTTGCATTAAGATGTGACCTGCTAATTAGAAAACTTTAAATTGAGTTTCTATTTTTTGTTATGTCAGCGGTTTTATAAAGAATGATGTTAAATTTAAACAGATCAACAAGACACAAACTCAGCAAAATCTGCTCTAGCAATACATGCCAGTTAAATAAAGTCTAATACAAAAATATGCACCTCAACTATAATATACAACTTAAAAAAATTCTGGTTTGTTCTCAATGTCAACAACTAAAAGTTGATACCTGATTGCTTTATGCTTTGTCTTTACATCGTTTTGGTGTAGATTAGGTCATCTTACGTCCTGCTCATTGTGGAAAGCACAATTTATACCTCTCCTGTTTCCTTGTCAGCGGCACCAGCAGCTGCGTTCGCAGCTGTGGACGTCAGTGAAATGTTATCATTTATGTTCGCTTTCCGCCCTCTTGTGGTTAACAGTGGTACTGCAGAATGGGCTGCATGAGGATTACCAAAACTTGGGTCCTTTTACTTCAGGTGTTTGTGTGTGGATTGAAGCACTCGTCCTTAAAAAGTTAGACACAAATCATTGTAAACATTTATGAAGGTTAGTTTACGCTTGTGGATCATATCGTACGCATTTGCAACCCTTTGGAGGCAAATTTCTCTCCGTAGAAGATGGATTTGCTTTGCTTGCTATTCTTGCACAATGTTCATATGAAATTATCAGAAAAATGTTGTGTATACCCCAGGATCAACGAGACTCTGAAACTGTGGGCGTGCTTACACGCAGCACATAAAAACATGCAAATGTGACTAAAGATGTCAAGTTTTACAAGGGTAATTTACATTTTATTGAAATTCAACTAAATAACTATGGAAACTAAAATAAGACTGAATACATAACACATAAAATACTGCGCATGCAGATGTACATGCTTTGGCTTTGCTGCGTTTAGCAGAAGCAAAAAATACTTTCAAAATAATGCTTTAAAGTGCTGATTCTTTCGTGCTTTTGAGTACTGTAAATAGCCTTATTTTACATCTAATGTGGCTGTAGGGTTAAAAGAAAGTGAACAAACTTGGGGCCTGATGTCTGTACTATTCACAAGGAAGAAGATTAAAGTCATGTTTTAGAGATAAACTAAGTACTTAGTAAATTTTAAAAAAATAATCAAAATAATAAATGTTTTAAATGTGGAATAAATGCATTCCCCGTATTAACTAGGGTATAAAAATATGCATCTTTTCCCTGTTCTGTAATTTTATGGAAAACATAGACACTGATCGCTCATGAATGACTAACCGGAAGTAGTTTTTTCTGCTTGACTCTTCCGCTTTTGTTTTGGGAGTCGGTTTGTCGTACTTCCGCTGTGAGGCCACCACCGTTGGCTTTATTAAACTCCGTCCTTCAGTGGCCGGGCGCAGAGAGCACAGTCCAGGCTACGAGGATGGTTTGTGTTCACACACTGTTGCGCCTTCCAGGATACTCCGGTTAAAAAAAATAATTAATAATAAAAAAAATGTTAACCTCAGCTTTCACTCCTTTATAGGAAAATTGGCTCTGCTTTTCCTCTCTCTTTACTGTGCGCAGCACTTAAAGATTTTTTTAAGTGAAAAGCGGCGGAGAAGTTGTTCGTCATTTACCGAGGTGAGTCGGTTTCACATTTTCCTGTTGGGTTTACATTAGAAGAAGAGATCTGACAGCAGCTCCCGAGTCAAAGGGGAACCGGGGAGCTTCTAAGACGCAAAAATAACCCTTGCAGCCAAAATGTACAGTCGGTGTGCTTCTCTTAGAGGTTAATTACGGAAGGATGTGGGGAAGATGTCATGTTTTGACGAGCACCTTTCATGTAGGACCAAAAAAATATCACAGGAAATATGGTACAGAATAGACAGGTGTTGTGTTTGTGTGTGTGAAAGAGAGTTTTAATGGTCAAGTTGGCACATCTCTCTCCTTCATTCAGATCTGGAGTCTACTCTTCACTGATGTTGGCCACTTTGGCACCAATATGGCTCACCGGTCTTGTAATTACACTTAAAGCGTGCTGATCCTTCCGCTAGTATTAACAAGTTGGCATCTGCTTCCATGCTTTTTCCGCCTCAGTCAGTCACTTTAAGCTGCCTGCCCATCCTGCAGGTGTGAGCAGGTGTGAGGCTTTTTGGCACGGTCAGTACAGTCAGAGGCCTGCACCTGGACCTGGGTTTTGTTTGTGTTTTCTTTCTACAGTGCACTCATACACAAAGTGCATCATGTGGCCAAAAATGATGCAATAGCAGCTCTAGGTTTTTTAGAGCCACAGTACAAGAAACATGCAGTTTTGTGAGGTTCAGTTGCTTTTAGAAAACATTCATTCTGCTCACCCCCCCCCATGTCTCAAATATTGCGGACCTATCCTGAATCCAGTTAAAGTGCAGCACAGTTCACTTGAGCAATATACTGCACACCTTTTAAAGCTGCTCTGGTGCATTGTAGCATACTTCATGAAGCCATGTTTTCTTTGATAATGCTATTTGGCAATCTGTGATGTCTTTTTATTCTTAATCATTCAGACTTCTACATAAGGGATAGAGCAGGTGTCTGCTTAAAGCTGGATTTATCCCACTCTCTGCTCCTTCTCTCACTGGAGTTGTTAATAGCATCTATAAATACAGGAGACTGCCACTGAGACCATGAACAAGGAGCGAGTGAGTAAAAGTAGTTGAGCCAGTCAAAACACGCTTTTCTCCACCTATGAATGATAAAGCGAGTGAATGAAAATGTTGCACTGGTATTTTCAGTGCATCACCACTACCAGTTTGACATCACAGTGGAGCTGAGCGGGAGGAGCACGCTGCTTATGACACATTAGTATCTTAGCAACAGACAGCATCCTTTTAGCATGCCGCTGTGAGAACAAAACCACTGATCTGGACACGGGTGCGGTGCTGTTTGTATTGTCCTTAAAGCCACCTGGGAATTATTTCAAATGCAATACCACTGAGAATATATTCACAACATTTTTTACTAAAATCAGCAATTGTTTCAAGATGTGTGTGTGTGTGTGTGTGTGTGTGTGTGTGTGT